GTGTCGGGTGAAGCATCCGAAACTCGCAAGACGTGTGTCATCGTGCAGGCAGCCTCCCAACTGTCATGCACTCAGCCGTGCAGAGTAGTTACGTGAAAGAGAGGCGTTGCTGTGTTTCTGCTTTTTGGACGGCTTGCTTTCCTGCTTGCAAGGTCCTCGAGACATGCCGACGGCCGCAGATCCGCGAATGTCGAGCGCCCAAGCTGCTGCTGCCACGTTCTCTTGCATGACGACTGCATGGCAGGTGATGGTACATTCGGCAGATGCGGACATGGTCGAGCTTCTCCGAAAGGAGATATTTGGATTTGTCAAACTGCGCACACCGGCTCGCCTTTTTCCCGAGCACCGCCTCAGCGGAAACCTGTCGAGGAGCCTAGCCTGCGGGCACTGCTTCGGATCCAGGAGGAGAACATCCCTGGCACAGAGGCAGAAAACGGATGTGCAGGGAGAGTTCCGAGGAACAGGTCAGTCTTGCCCTTCTCCTTTGCTGTGGCAAAGCTGGTGCTTGATCTAATGCATGCAACAGCCGCAGGCGCATCGGCGAGTGCTTGCACATCTGGGTCTCAGGCACTCGCGGATCAGATGTGGCTTGCTTGTTGCACGGTTCCGCGGTTGACAGCACCCGCTTCACCATGCAACCTCAGGGAGCGCGCAGGTCAGGCTGTCAGCCTTCTTGCAGGGCACTGAGCCAGTCTGTCGTTACGGCAAGTTTTGAAGTTGCCGTCGTGTAATTAGAGACTGAGGCTTTGCCTCCACGCCGCTGGCTATTAAACCCTGCCGCCAGTCCGCTCGGGGCCTCTTATGGCTACTTCGAGTTTCAAGAAGACGAGGGTGGCAAAGTCTTCGCAGTGTTCAAGCTCAGCCGCCTCTACGTTAGCTCAACGGGATCTGTTGGCTACGATGCCAAGATGGAGTTTGTCAGCTTCTGGAAGGAGTTGGTGTACACAGCAAAGGAAAGGGGCGTGGATCGCTTGTTGATTGACGTCGCCGGAAATGCCGGTGGTTTCGTGGATCTTGCATATTTGCTCGTTCGGGCACTGTACCCGTTCTTGGAGTTCCAGCAGGTGTGCAACACATACGACAGGCCTGTGGGATCTCTGTACAAGGCTTGGAGGGAGGTCGACACCACCCCCCTAGCAGCTTTCATGGACGATGACACGGCCATCCGGCAACGCTTGAAGCAGATGACTCCAGAGGAGCAGGCAGCTATGAAGTCAGTTTTGCAGAAAATCACCAAGGCTTGCATGGAGATGGATGTTTTGGACATGGACGACGTGCTGCAAATCCAGTCTGCCATCGATTCCTTGGACACAGGGGAGGTGGACGAGGAGAGCTTGCGCGGGACTCTTGAGATCCTGACTGCATCAGCTGAGAGTTTTGGAAATCCTTTCTCGCTATATCTTGACGGTTATGCGGCAAATGGCACCCCGTTCGATCCATTCAAGTCTGCGCGAACGGCGCGACGGGGCGGCAAGCCTAACGTTAAGCTGACAGAATTCTTTCGCATTGAGGACTGCGTTTTGGCATTTACCCAAAAATTTGTTGATGCATTTAGAGGGCTAGAGCATCCGTTTACAAACATTCTGTTTGTGTCTGACGGCGGTTGCGGATCATCATGTGACACGTTCTCCCGGACTGCGTACATGATTGCGAAGAAGCAGCAGCATCATGGAGGTTCGAGGCTGCAGATAAATTATGTAACTTTCGGTGGACTTGGTGGATCCTTTGACGATGCACAGGGCACGCTGTCAGCGACGTCATTTCCTGGAGGGAACTTGATGATGGCCGCCATGGCGCAATTGTACAACCCCATCTATTCCGCTGCAGCTTTAGGGTATCTTGCTGCCGAATGGGCCGGTTTGGGTCCCATGAAGAGGCAGCTTGCACATTTTCGTACTTTCGTTCCCCAGTATCCGTATTATTGGAACAATCTGCCACAGTACCCTCAGAGTGAGATGTACCAGAACGCGTTGGGAGATGATGCCCTGCCTGCGGAATTCTATTTCTTTCCCACGGACATGTACTTGCCGGACTGGTATGCGGACGTAGTCGGCGAGCCACATGAGTGGAATGAGTCCGAACTGAGACGTCTGCACGTGGACGCAACCAAAGCATTCAAAGCTGTGTCAATGATCTTATCGCCTTCTGCAGCCTCTCGGGATCTTCTGGGAAGGCAGCCATATCCCGGCACAGTGCTTCAGGGCACCAGTTTCGCTTGGTTGGTAGGTCTGGGGATCTTGGCTTCCACCGCGCTGTTCCTCCTGGTAGTCTTCGCCTTGACAAAACTTCCGGAGGGACTACGCATTGGCTTTTCGCACCCAGAACTGCATGAGCACATGGTGAGTGATGAGGAGGCTTCTTCGTAAACGCACAGCCTACTCATTGCCGGAGGCAGATGCAAAGCACGCTGTTTGATGCGGAAGCCTGGCGCTTGACGCCATTTAGAGGTGGACGTGTTTGCTGTTGGTACTTTTCTGCTTTGACTGACACATCACATCAAGATGTGTCTAAGCTTAATGCAAGCTGATGGTGCCGTGGTTTAGATGTATGTAATCAGAAGTGTGTTTTTGAGGTGCCGGTCGATTCATCGAATCTCAATCATTGAAGTCTGCATTCTCGTCCTAGACGAGCTTTGCATACAGCCCAAAGAGGTCGGTAGGTGACGAAACGTCGGTGGTCTTTCACAAGGTCCAGCAATTCAAGCACAAGCAAGCGGCTGGGCATGCTCATGAGTCGAAGCAGAGTGCTTGGAAAAGGGCTTATCTCGTCTTGACACGTCGCCCTGAGTGAGTTCCGTCATGGCCGGAGCTGCTGGGTAGGTCCAGAAGGTCAAGGAGCATCAGGAAAATATGCACTCGGCTGAGAATTGTCCTGACAACAGGCTGTGCCAGGGCCGCATCCTCTCAGTCAGGTTGAAAGAAGTCCATGATCTAGCTCGAACGACTTCAATGCTGGCCAAGCATGTTGCGGACTCAGCAGCTGCTGTCGGTTCAGGAGTGGGCACTGCCATGCACTGTCAAGGAGGTCCCGGCGAACCAAGCCGAAAAGCTGCGTGCTGAACTGTTGGCTGTCGGGGAGGCCGGCATCCCTGGATATCAGCATGTTCAGTGTGCTGAGAACCACCCATGCTCGAGTTCTAAGATTTCAACGGAAGGTGGAACTGAATCACAAGCAGTCGGACAGCCATATCAACACTCAACAACACATGCATAAAAGACAAGCGGATTCAATGGACTACCCGACTGGTCCCCAGGTGCCGCCATCTTAGAACATGCAGAATGATAAAACTATACATTAGTGACTCTACTGTCCTGCTGTCTTTGGGCGGTTCCTGGCAAGTGAATCGTGGTTGTTGTTTTGCTTTTCTTTACCCGTTGTGAAAACCCAGCGCAACAACAGACATTTCCTCGGCTCGTTAGAGGGGCCGCGATTTGTCCCTCTTTTCTGCTTGGTTCCGGGTTCATGTGCACAACGAAACAGACCTCGATGCGGGCCTTGCTGTGTTGTGTTTTATGTGTCTTTCGCATTTGTTTCTAACGTACAAAGCCCACAAACTACATGGAACTACATCGAATCGCAGTCCGAGCACCTGATCCCAAGCTCCGTGGAGTCGGTTTCGTTCGCTTGTTCGAGGAGCTCCGTGGGCTGTGAGAGGTTTAGAGTTGAGACTAATGGGTGATTCTGGAAGTCCTCCTACAGCGGTTTGTCTTGTCTTCTTACGTCTCTTCTCAGTGTGTGTGTGTGTGTAGGGGTGGTTCGTTTACTATGTGTCTTTTGGGAGGCCAATCTGTCTCCAATCCTCGCAGTACTTATTCACGGTGCAGTGTATTAAGAGTCGAGTTCAGCGTTGGCCGCTGCCTCAGGCACGGAAAAAAGCGAGAAATTTCGGTGAGGATTTGCTGGAGGATCGGCGCTTTCAATTCTTTACCGTTCCAGGAGCTTCGTGTAGTCTTGTTATAGTTGAAGCGAGGACATGATGGTGCTCGACAATCTGTCCAAGCTGACTCCGGAAGACAGGAGCCTTCGCAAGGCTGGACCGCGGTTCTTCTCTTGCAAGCCTTGGTACTGCTGCCGACGCTTAAGGCTACGATCGCCGGCCTCGAAGGCTTGCTTCAGGACCCGCCCAGCCCGGCAGGACTTCCAACGGCACCGAGCGACTGTCCTGTCAGAACGTCGACACGGCAAAGTCTCGGCTGGCAACGCTGCATAGAAGACTGGAGGCCAGCACTGTCCTGCCAAGCATGAAGAGTCGTTGCAGCATCATGTCCGCGAGTCCCGACAGGACAATTTGAAAACTCTCGAGGCGAAGGATGGTGCAGTGTTGAGTCAGTGACAGTCCCAGCAATTCAATTGCTGTATTGCCAGCTACCCGTGCACCGTGAGGAGAGGCAGCGTAAAGAGCAACAGCAACACGAGCAGGAGCAGGCCTGTCCTGGAGCCCTTGCTTGGCATGTGCTTTCGCTTTTGAGCTCAGCGTTGGGAACGGGTCACGCGGGACGGTCTGCAACCTGTTGGCGGAACTTCTGATTATGAGTCCTTGCAGGCGCCAAGCGTCAGCCCGGAGGTCTCAAAGCCGCGAGCAGTTGCGATGTCAGTGTTGGAGCCGCCTCCACCTGACCAAGATATGTGGAAGCAGGCTGGCCGCTGTTATGCAGAACTCGATCTGCTATTCGTTACTCCTTATCCCGCAGGTTCGACTACCTTTGAGGTTTCATGCCCGCGAGGCTCAGGGGATCTCAGGGGAAGAATTGGGATTGGTTTCCGGTAGCTCTGCCGCAGTCACAGGAAGACGGCCAGTACGTCCTCTCCGCAACGGCTCCAGGCTTGTTGCATTGACTTCTGTAGAATACAAGAAGCTCGGTTATTCGATCGCCCATCTCTTGCAGGTTTGTGCCCAGATGACCTCAAGGCGGACTCCTGCACTGGGAGTCCATGCCAAAAGCCTGGTAGAGTCGTTCCCCGTTTCACCACTCCCAGACCCATACTGTAATATGATTTAGAGAGAATTGCCGGCACTGTCCGGGCCTTGAGAGCTGGAGGGCCTGGAAGGTTTAGTAGCGCCATCGCCAGTTGGAGCTGAGCCACGATGCCACCACGCTCAAAGTTGAGGGCCTCCGACTGCCGAGCTGACCTCAGACCTGGATATCTTATTTCTGGCAGTGACTGACGCTTTGGGTTTTGTTTGAGGACGCAAAAGGAAGAAGACAAGATGCGAAGGAGGTCAGACTGCTTGGAGAAGTGGGTTTCGAACTTCAGCACCACAGTTTCCTCATTTGTAGTAGTTAGTAGTAGTTCTGACACATGCACGCATCTGGAGCTCTTGTCGTAACTAGATGTAACCAGGTTACAGTAGCTTGCCGCCTCAGCACACACACACACACACACACACACACACACACACACACACACACACACACACACACACACACACACACACACACACCCACACACACACACACCCAAACACACACACACACACACACACACACACACACACACACACACACACACACACACACACACACACACACACACACACCCCCACACACACACACACACACACACACACACACACACACACACACACACACACACACACACACACACACACACACACACACACACACACACACACACACACACACACACACACACACACACACACACACACACACACGCGCAGACCCGCGCAGACACGCGCAGACACGCGCAGACACGCGCAGACACGCGCAGACACACCCGCAGACACACCCGCAGACACACCCGCAGACACACCCACACACACACACACCCACACACACACACCCCCACACACACACACACCCACACACTTGACACATCGTGTCGCAGGTCTGATCTGTCGGTGCATACTGTCAGGAAAAGTCAGCAACTCAAAGCAAGCCCTCACTCAAACACAGCTCTGAGTCACACCTGAATGATCAGATTGCAGCAACCATGCAGGAAACTCGACAGTGGCAAACGTGAAGCTGTCACTCTAGTGTTGGTTACTCCAGTGCCTCAGGGGGCCCACTGGCTAATCCGAAAGCAGGTACACAGTGGTGATCAGCCACTGCATCCACTCCAGTGATTTGGCTTCGTTGGGCAAGGCTGATCACTGGAGCCCTTGCCCCCCTGCCTACTTCTCTCCCTTCGAAACAGGGTTGGACACACACAAGCCCGACCGGGCTCATTGCAGGAGCTTGCACATCACTTGCACGTCACTTGCACATCCCTTGCACATCCCTCGCACGTCACTTGCACGTCCCTTGCACATCCTTTGCTGCTTGTTCACTGAATTTCATGGGAGAGTCTTATGCTCAAAAAACCTAGGAGAGTGGGCTGCGAAACCTCAGGAAGCGCAGTCTATGCACTAAGTGCAATTCAACTTCTGCTTCTTCCGCATCAGCATCGAAGTACATGCAACACTGAGTTGCAGTTTGGTACGCAACGCTGGCCAGTGACACAATACTCACTCGCAAACGCTCCTGTACTAGGTCTACGACAGCTCTCATCCACCTTTTTGACGGGCTGCTCAACATGGTGCATGCCGCGGCATTGATTTGTGTAAAACGGATGGTGGTATGCAAAGACTGAAAGCCCATGGTCCACTCAACCGAAGAGGACAGTCGAAACTCCTGTATCCCACGTCGTAAAAAAGTGTACGCCACCATGGTGTCGGTTATGGGTTGTGCCTCTTCTGGGTCATCATTTGGATCGAGACGGGTAATGAATGTGATTCTGGTTCTGATCGGCAACACGTACATCAAGATGTTGTCGAGCACGTCAGAAGCAGCCCAATCCATGATGTTCGGGGTCTACACAATTTTCCGAGTGCTTGAAGCAAAACTCATGCACACCCTTGCATATCACTTGCAATCCGCTTGCACATCACTTGCAATCCGTTTGCACATCCCTTGCTCGTCACTGCTCTTGAATTGACACAGAGGTGGGCTCTTTTTATACCGTAACAACGAAATCGACTGGTTCGAGGGTTTGAGCAGTCGTGACAGGTTCTGTAAACCGAAGATGACGAAAGTTTTGTACAAGCTGGAAGGTGTGCAACCTAGGCCACCAGCCGAACTTCTCCCAGAGCTGCATCGCGACAAGGTATTTGGCAACGTTGATGGAATCGTTGATTGATAACTGGATGTGGAGAATAATAGTCTCGTGTCCGGTTGCCCGACTGCATACACGAACCCACATCCGAAAATTGTAGTCGCGGCTCGTACTCCAAGGCAAATTGGCTTCGCGAGCCTTGCGCTTCATGTTGGACAACCTACACAATTTCACTGGATGTCAAATGCTGCAACTCAAGACGGCTCATGCAGAAACCTGAAGATGCACAGCACCGCACACGCGCACTCTT